AACTCCAAATCATTTAAAGACCTCAACATAAAGGAGATACACTGAAAGAGAAGAAAAACTGGAGAATATCCTGAACTCCTTGACACAGGAAAAGACTTTCTGAACAAAACACTGTTAGCACAGGCACTAAAGATCAACAATTAATAAATGGGATCTCATGAAATCAAGAAGCTTCTGTATGGCCTTCAGAAAAGAAAAATATTTTTCCAACTCCAAATCCAGTAGATAGCTAATATCCAAAACTATATAAAGAATTAAAAAACTAGATATCAACAAAACAAATGGCCTAATTAAAAACTAGAATACAGATATAAACAGAGAATTGTCAAAAGAGAAAACTCAAATGGCTAAGAAACGCTTAAAGAAATATTCAACAACCTTAGCCATCAGGGAAATGTAAATAAAAACGACCTTAAGATTCCATCCTATACATGTCACAATGGCTAAGATCAATAAAGCAAGTGCCAGCTTATGCCAACAAGGACATGGAGTAAGAAGAACACTCCTCCACTGCTGGTGGAGTGCAAACTTACACACCCACTAGGGAAAACATTGTGGTGGTTCCTCAGGAATATGGAAATTATCTACCTTAAAATCCAGCTACAATACTCTCAGGCATATACCCAAAGGACTCTTCATTCTATCAAAAAGAAAATTTCTCAACCATGTCTATTGCTGCTCTACTCTAGAAACTGGAAACAACTTAGATGTCCCTCAGCAGATGAGTAAACAGAGGGAAATGTGGTACTTCAACACAATGGAATACTACTGTCATTGAAAGAAAACATGAAAAGCATAGGTAAATAGATGGAATGGGGAACACAGTGATGGGTGGGGGGGGAGTGGGAGCTGGGAAGAAGAGAGGGGGAGAAGAGGAAGAGAGAGTAGGTCATGGGAGAACAGGAAGTTGAGTGGGTAAAAAAAGAAAACAAATTCATTCTGAGTGGGGTAACCCAGACCCAGAAGGAAAAATATGGTATGTATCACCCATATGTAGATGTTAGCAGTTAAGACAGTGATAATCAAGTTACAATCCACAGAACTGAAGAGATTGGGTACAGAGTAAGGGACCATGAGGGTTAAAACTAGATCTCCCTAGGAAAAGGAAATAGAATAGATAGTTAATGGATGGATTAGAAGGGACTAGAATGGGAGGATCAAGTGGAAAGGAGGAGTGAAGAGGGAAGTAAACAAGAGATGCAGGAAGAAATAGATAAAATTAAGGGTCATTTGAGGGGTGGTATGGAAATGTAATACAGTAGAAGCTTCCTAAAATATATACATATGTGAAGGTAATTTAAACAAAATCACCAAATAATGGAGGAGACAGAGCCCCAACTGGACATCTCTTGCTACCAGTGAAGCTTCCAGTACCCAGAGTGGGTTACATTTAATTGAGTTGTTGACCAAAGGGGTCCCTTGGGAATCTCCAAACAACCTAGGCTGTTGTCAAGGCTATAGTGAGGCCCCATTGCTGAAGACAACTCATGAACATGAAGAAAATGAGCTGGTGCCTACATAAAGTCTTTACCCCTGTGTGCTAGTGTCTTTGGTACATGAAGGTACTCTACAGCTATCAAAGGAGACATGTAAACACCAAATGCAGCCATAAATCCTTTGGTCCACAATGGTACCCTGCCTGCAAGATATGCTCATGCAACAGTGGCACAAAGCTTGTAGGAGCAACCAACCAATATCTATTTGACTTAATGCCCACTCCATGAGATCTGTACTGCTTGGGTGAGGAAGTGCCTGAGACTAGATAGTCCAGGGATGTTGAGTAAAACCACATACTAATGTTTTTTGTATGTTTGTTTTGCTTTGCTTTTGTTTTCAAAAAGAAAGTCACCACCACCAACAACAACAACAAATTGTAGCAGTAAAAAGACTCCTAATGACATTCTGCTATACTTATAGATCAGTGCCTTGCTCAGATGTCAACAGTGGAGCTTCTTCCTGTACAGATGTGAACAGATACAGAGACCCACAGCCAGACATTATTCAGAGAGTGAGAGACTTTGGAACACCCATCCCTAAATGGAATGTCTCCATCAAATCCCTTCCACTTGGGGCTCAGAAAACCCTGCAGTAGAGGAGGCAGAAAGAGTATAAGAGCCAGAGGGGACGGAGGACACCAAGGAAACAAGGCCCTCTAAATACATCAGTGTCTATGCACACATGAACCTACAGAGACTGAGGCAACATGCACACTGCATGCTTAGGTCTGCACCTGATGGGGTCCTAGAGCTGCAAGAGGCCTGTAAGGGAAAGGGGAAAATGTATGTGTATGTATGTCTCTCTGTGTTTGTGTGTACGCATATGTATACACTTCTCTCTTTTTACCGTACAGGTAATAATTTTTGGCTTCCAGTTTAGTGTTTTTATGGTATCCCTGACTGTGTGAACAAGAGGTCTCTGTATCCATATCTGTTTCATGTGCCTTTTCTTGGGCTCTTTTTCTTCTATTTGTTTTGTCCTAGTCAGATGTATTAGTTTTTGTTTTACCACATTATATTATATATTTTATTATTATTATTATCCCTTGGAGGCCTACTTGTTTTCTAGTTGAGACAGAAAGGGAATGGATCTGGACGGGAGGAGACTTGAGGAAGGGAAGCTGTTATCAGGATACATTATGTCAGACAAAATCTATTTTCAATAAAAGAAAAAAATTAAGAAAAAAGACATTAGATGCTTCTTAGCAAGAAAATTGGATAATGTTATATGAAGGAAAGTTAGTGTTAATTTTTCATATTCCTTCTTTTAAAATCAATTGATAAATTACTTTTTCCTTACTAACAAACTGTTGTTATAATACTAATGTATAGTCTAGAGGATTTCCCTCCCTTTCCTTTATATTCTGTGTAAAATAGATTTTTCCCAATAGATTTTAAATGTGTTTGTTTAGCACCACAGTATCTCTAAAGACATTTGGTACCATTACTCATGTTTAGCAATCATGAAAGCCAAGAGACCTTCAGGAGGCTAAGTGATCTTTCTATAAGCTCAGGTATAGCACTGAGGATTTCACTGGGGTTGGGAATGGAAAGCGATCATTTTTCCACTGCCTGGAGGAGCTACAGTATAATTACTTTTAAGTTAATTTCAATTGAGATAACTTCTGGGATAAAGATGTTGCAGGTCCCAAGTTTAATAGATTGAATTTAATTCCACATTTAGTCTCTGAGAATATGAGAAAAGTGCAAGCTCCCAAGACCTGTCTCTTCCCTATAAGAATGACTGTCATATCATAGGAAATGACCAAATAAGGTAAGCAAATTTTACCAAATAAGGTAAGCACACTCTGGGGTGCAAAATTTTCCCTTGAAGATTTTATTTCTAGGTTGTGAGGCATATTCTTTAAAAAGAAAGATCGGCTCTTCAGACAACTTCCTACTTCAAAAGACTAGCTAGAGTCTTGTGACCCCTTAGACACATGTCTAATGTGATGTACTGTGTGAACTCAAAGAAATGGACTGAGACTTGACAGTCACTTTAATTCTATGAAATCCACAGTCTCCGGGGATGTGGGTCACTCCAAATAAGTTTTCACAGCCGACATACCTGCTTCCAACTGATTCTCATGTGTGGACTGGCTGAGAACTGCTGGCTTCATGTGCCTCAGGTTCTCCATTTCCAAACTAATACTGTCTCTTTGCTCACAAGCTGCCCTTAAGAGTTAACGGAGAGAATGTGTCAACTAAGTGCCTGGTACAGTTGAGAAATGTAGTAAGAACTCTATATGCTCTTCCTTTTAATTCCCTCCTTCCTACTAATGGATTGGACCCTGGAGCTCTTTTCCTACCAAATGTTATTTGTTCTATAGTTGTTTGTTTGTTTTTTATTTAGTGAAACTGACCAAGCATATTTGGCAATGATTCAACCTCAGTCCACACAAGGAATACCCTAGATTTTATACCTGTAACATCAAGTCTACAGTCTCTCTAACTAGTCCTGACTGTTAAAGGACTTTCTTCCTTTCCCACTAGCTACATAGTCCTGGGAGAACACCCAGAAAGATTTCTTTTCTCCCATGCAATTTGGAGTAATTTGTAATACATTACCCCTCCATCAGGGTCTGCTGGACACTGGTTCTAGCCTGAGGAAGAGCTGAGCACATAGAGAGTTCCAAAATGAGAGAGAGAGAGAGAGAGAGAGAGAGAGAGAGAGAGAGAGAGAGAGAGAGAAGGCACATATACCAAACATGGATTGTATTTGCACACACTGGTAGGGAAATGCAGAAGAGGCTACAGAGTGAATCTCTTTAAATGAAAACAAAAATAGGAAAGAAGGAAGAAAGCAGCAGAGGGGAAGAAGATGGAAGGGAGGGGGAGAAAGGGAAAAATCAGGGAGGGAGGGAAGGGAGGGAGGGAGGAAAGGAAGGGAGGGAGGGAGGGAGGGAGGGAAGGAAGGGAGAGAAGGGAGGGAGGGGATTGGTTTGGGGACCTACTTTCACTCTACTGAAACAGAAACTCCAGGTTTGAGAAGCTTGCAAACGTGTCTTGGGCTTTCAATTTCCAGGTGACCAGCACACATTAATATTAGCACACAGGAAAGAGCCAGTAGACAGACTCATCTGATTCCCGCCCTGTTAATGCCCCATCTACTACAATTTCCATGGAGACCAGAGAGTCAGCTAAAGCTACTGCTGGTGCCTCTTCTGGGGGAAGGTGACTGTACTGTTAGCAACTGCAGAGCTCCTGTTTCCAAATTAGTTTCTTGTCCTTGAAAGGGTTTCTGCTTTCATGATGTCTTGGAGCTAAACAGGTTGTGTCCAATCCAGTCTCTTCTTTTATAAGATAAGGCGCAACTTTCTCCAAATCTGTGGCCTGGTGACACCATAAGCATTGGGATAAATGCCTGCAAACTTCTCCTTTCAAAGATAAAGATTTTAGTCCTGCTGCCCCCACAAAGATGGTACTGAGACATCGTCCCCACATACTCCTGGAACAAAACATTTTCTTTCCTCTTCTCTAAAGGTTGAGACCATGTCCCTTGTCACAGAATAGGGTAACGGCACCTCATTGAGGACAGCTTCATATGGATGTGGACTTCAAATACATAACTAAAAAGGAAAAAAGAAAAACAAACAACCAAAGAAAAAAACAAAAAGAAGCATTTCTACACTGGATATCCCAGATTTGGAAATGATTTACTCCGAGATGCATGGGGCTATTAGGGGCAAAAGTGAGTAGCAGAAAGGTAAATGATTGCCAGAGCCATGGGCTGTTAAGTCACAATCTCATACAGGTGACCCCGAGCTAACTGACTCACAGATAGCCCAGGAAGTCTGCACAGTGCGTCATCACTGCTGAGCTAGAAAGAATCGAGAGTGCCAGGGTCACTAGAAAAGCAATCCCCTCTACAGTCATAGCTTTAGAATTTGTAAATGTATATCCACAGACACACAAAGCATTATGCTTGTTTACTTAGCTTGGCTTCCTACTATTATTGCTTTCATTTTTATTATGAAGTGTTTTTATGTTTCTGAAGCTTGATTCATTAAGTAATTGCCATCATCCTATTTGGGTCATTGGTCATATTTATTGCAAAAGAAAAACACAAGTCATTATTTCAAGAGGACATGCCACATAGTTTCCATGTCCTAAACTTTTCAACCTCTCTTATTTTGTTCAGAGCTGATTCCTCCCAAGAAACAGCACATTCCCCAGAGGTAATCAGACTGAAGAAGGAGGGAGACAGGGCTTGTCCTCGACAGATAAGCCTATGGTTTCTTGCTTTTTGCTTTTAGGTTTCTTGTATTTTTTTGTTTGTTTTTTGGTTTTGCTTTTGTTTTGGCCACTTGCTATCCTCAGTTTCCTCAATATCACTAAAGAGTTTTATAAATAAACCTATAGTTGAGAAGGATAGAAATCACCCTAAGTCTAAATCATGGGAGAACAAACAGACAAAAACATACTTTCCATTCCTATTCTGCACAAAAATAAGCATCCCATTATTCTTGACTATTCATTTCCCTTTAAAAGAAAACATAAATAAAACATGGCAGGGAGAATGACTCACATTGTTAACTTAAGTTGTTCCATCCTTAAGAAGAAATACAGTTTACAAAGCCAGGTGCCTACAGTGTGAGTATAGGAAGTGTCCCTGCTTATAAATAATACATACAGTATGATGTTCCTTGTCACTTCCTTTTTTTAATTTCCATCCTTTCCTACTACACTCATGGAAATGTCTAGTAATCCTTTTATGAATGTGTTTCCTGCATGGTTATTCTGAAAACTCATGCAATAAACAATCCAGCCTCTTAAAAGCCAAGGGTTACTTGATGTTACTACATGTATGGTAAGAGCAGAACTTTTCACCTCCAACCTTGACTTTTCTTAGAGTAGTGCACAGGCTCAATAAGAGAGGAAAGGAGGGAACCCCACATCTACCAAGGATTTAATGTCTTGCATAGGGTTAGAGGTTTTTGCCTGCAGTTACCATGTTTTGCTCATGACAACATGGAAGGCCAAAACTATTGTGCTTGCTTACCATATAAAGAACGAAGACTTAGAAAGGTGAAATGACTTACTGAGATTGTGGACAGTAAGTGCAGACAATAGGTTAAAATAGAGCTCAGCCTCCATAATTCAAAGGTAATGTGTTCTTTCCATACTGATAAAAGGAGAGCATGTTTTTCTTTGCAGAGGAATCATAGGTTGAGACCATCTGTCATCTGCGGGATTTTTTTTGCCTGTTGTCTGCTCTTGTGATAAATTATGTATCATTTGATTTTCCAGAAAGAGAATTAAAATCTTGGAATTGTGGTTTCCTGAAACCCAGGAAAGTCTCTTTTGAGACCTCCTAAACTTAAATGATAATGACCAGGTACGTATGGAGCCCAGTTATTCTCCTTAACAAGGCAAAAACAAGACAGCTCCACCTTAAACCATCCCTTAAAAACCTAATGAGAAACTCAGAAATACATTTGCAAAGAGAATATGGGTTGAGTTCATAGGAAAAGCACAGAATGGCAATAACCAGGGTTTGCTTGGTATCATGGTACCTTTCAGTCCTTGGGAGCCTAAGCACATGCAAACACACTTGGCTGTTCATTGGATATCTCCTGACCTGGGCTGCTGCTTAGAAAGCTGATGACACTAGACCTTAGGTATCTAGGTATCTCCCATCCTAATACACTAGAGCCTCACTAAGTGCTGGGCTAGGAGAGGACTTCTAATGGAGCCTCTAGGTAAATGCAAAGGAATGCTTACATGCAGGACCTGTTTGTGTTTTGCTTTTAAGAGATATCCTTTAACATCTTGGTAATTTCCCAGAATCCTGCAGGTGCCTAGTATAAATACCACAGGAACTATAAACTCTGAAATCCAAATGACCTAATTTTGCGTCCCCAATAAACAGCTCACTAATTAAATGAGCCTGAGTCTCTATGACCTCATTTGTAGACCAGGAATAATACAACTAACCTTACCACATTGTTTTGAGGATTAGAGATAATGGACATAAAATACCTGGAAGATACTTAGGCAAGAGCCTGCCATCCTTGGTTAGTTGTTTCAGCCTTAAATATCACTCAGACATAAAATCTTAAGCATTTAAAAGGATATTGGAGGCTCATTCCAGCAGTTTACCCAGTGTAGTAGTACATTCTCCAGCATTCTTGGTGGATACAGTTTGAATACTTTCTGCTTCGAAAGGCTTAGTCCACTAGAGGATCATAAAGCAAAAATAATGAATTTGTTTTCAGCTATGTGGAAATTTACAAAACAATCAAGGAAAACATTATTCAGAGGAACTCGGATGGAAAGAAGGAAAATCTGGATGAGTTTTGAGCAAGGGAGTCTTATTAAGTCAAGACAAGACCACCTAGGTCATGAAGTACACTGTCCTTTGGAAGAAAAATGAATTTACTGCCATGAAGTAGCAAATTAATAGCACAATTCAATCCGTGTGTGTTTAGCTGTCCTAGAAGTTGCACTAATCAGAGTTTGAAGTAATAACCTTGGAAATTTCCTTTTTATAGTTACTAAAGAAACAAGATTTCATCAAATAGTCAAAGATTGTCTTCATCACTGTGTGTGTGTGTGTGTGTGTGTGTGTGTGTGTGTGTGTGTGTGTGTGTGTGATAAAGAAGAGGTCATAAATTTGGGAGGGGACATGGGAGAGAGGCAGGAGTGATATAGATGCCATGTTCATGTATGAAGTTCTCAAAAAATTGGAGTCATTCATAAGTACACGGATCTGTTTCATTTTTGTCAGGAAATGGATTTCAACTAAGGAGTATCAACACTTGAAAGGAACTAAAGTAACCATCTGTGAAGAAAAATGAAGCTGGTCAAATCATGTAAAGAATCTGAATTTGAATCATTTAGAATTTGTTCACAACTATGACTCAATAGTTATAGATAGTGTTGAGGGAATTCAATGCATAGCTAAACAATTGTCAATGATATCAATGAAATAAGTTGCTTTCAGTATATAGTTAATTAATTGTTTCTTGTCACTTTTTTATGCATTTTTGTGTATGTGTGTATGTGCTGTGAGTGTACATTCCCATGGAGGCCAGAAGAGGGCATTAGACCTGGAATCACAGGCAGTTGTGAGCTGCCTGAAGTGAGTGGTGGGAACTGAGCGCAAGTGCGATTAACCATTGAGCCATCTCTTCAGCCACAGTCTCTTATGCATTGGAAAAGAAAGTTGAAAATGTGATCATTGCTTTGAATATATATTCTTTATTCTTACCTAAATAATAACGAAATGCCAACCTGGTGCTATAGAGTAATGGCAGTAGCGCACATGAGGCCTTGGCTTTTCAGCACCACAATAGAACCAGAACAAACAAGCAAATTCTACAAAGAAAAAAAAAGGAAGGAATGAAAACATACTATCAAATGTCAAATTGTTTTTAGTCTGAAAAGGCAGACCGGTAGAATGAATATGACCCACTTGTGGGGGCCATTGTGAAGAGCAAAGGAAATAATGAATGTAAATGGCTTTGAAGACTGAAGCAAAGTTATACACCGAGGAGTTCACAGGGGCCAAGAGACAATACAGACACATGAATTAGGCTCATCATTAACAATAGGACAGAGGAGTTTATAACTGACTTCATACTCAAGTGAAAAAAGATGAACCACATCTGCGACTGCGTAGGACCAACTCCCCAACTCACAGGATGCTGTCTCCTCGCTCTGTCTCCACATTTCAGAGAGGCAAGAAAGTGTGAGGTCTTCATAAGGACGAGAATACTTTCCTTTCTTTGGAGGCTCTGCCCTGCTCGCCTAGCTAGCTCCCAAAGGCTCCCTCTCCTCCCACCACTTCAGGGATTAAGTTTCAGCATGGGAACTTGGTTGGGAGACACAAACCTTTGAATTCTAGTGTCTATCTTCACCAAGACTGTTTCTTGTCTCACATACGAACTTTTTTCGCTCCAATTCACTGTTGTCCTGTCTACTTGCCATAATAACTTCTGTATAAGATTCGCTGTACTTGACTCAGTTATAAATGGAGAAAACAAAGTTGAGTTTAATGCAACTATCAGCTGCCCATCAAGCATGAGGGGAGCATGGCGGCATACACCTGCAGTTCCAGAGCTTAGGTGACAGAGTTAGCAACATTGTGAGTTCTCTACACAGCCAGCCTGGGCTGTGTAGATTGACTCTGCTCTTTAGAGGGTGCAGAGACAGACAGCACACGGCAAAACAGCCTGCAGATAGATGCTGACCAAACGTGTAGGACTTGTTGTCACAGTGAAAAGTACAGTGTGGACAAGAAGAGCCACAATTCCCATCCATTCCCTTCTGACCCATTCATGGCTCTTCTTGGGATCACAAAGTAAGAGTGTATTGGAGCAAAATAGAGGGCTTTCTGCCAACAGACGACGGGGACCATATTGGTATTGCAAACTGATAAGATGCTAGATAATATGTTTAATTAATTGGGAACTTTTCCCTAATATTAATCTGAATCCATTCTTCAGTCCTTATATTTCTGGATTTGGGCACACCATACATCCTATGAATACAGCCGAAGTGCTTGCCCTGCTTGACTGGATACTTTATAGAATAAATATGCACAGTGGATGGTTTAGTCAGGGTCCAGCTCCACCGCTGGGCTCCTCTGCTGTAATTGCTACTCTGACCCTGGTTCCCACTCTGGTGTCATCTCTTGGCTCCTGTGGACTTCTCAGTTGGCAAACTCAGCTTTAGAGTTTTCAAAGCCCTTTCACACAAGAGTAATATAAGCTATTATCACTCTCTCCTTTCAGGCCAGGAAGTGTGGGTTCAGAGGGGTTAAAGAGTGTTCTCTGGAAGTTACCACGGAATTAGTACATGGTGGATCCAGAATCAATTCTTTCAACCATAAGACATTGCCTTTCTTTTAAAAATGAAGAATAAATGTATCCCAAACACCCCTCTCTCCAGTGCTCTCAATCTTCATACTCTTTTCAAAATATTAAAAGGCATAATAAAGGATAGAGTAATCGTAAGAGAAAAAAACATTGTTATGATTGTTGGCCTAATGTCTTCAATGAAGCCAAATCACATACTGTGAATAATTTGTGGCAATGTCCTAGGCAAACACATTATGAGAACTATAAAAGTGATGTATTGATATCTTAATTACTCAGGCATGTGTTCTGGGTGGACAAAGTCCCAGTCCTAGCTGGCTACCTCCACTTATCTTTTATTGTCAAATGCAGTCGTCTTCATTTAGACAAAGGCAGAACAGAAGAAGAGATCAAGGCAGGGATCATGAAGATGGTGAAAAGCCCCTTGGAACAGTGATGCCTTGGTTAGTCACTGAAAGTCCACCCCTGAGCACCTCAGCTTCAGTTCCCAGGATCACACCAAATGGCTGTTATCATCACTCGTTGAAGACAAAACTGGTTCCTGTGTGGAGATGACTTAACTTTTTGAAGTCAAAGTACATTCAAGAGCCGTAAAAATTACTTTTGAATGAAATATGAGTGTTTTGAAAAAGAATGCTCCAAAGATCAGGTAAGGGGAACCCTTTGAAGATATGTACCCCCGGAAAAGTAAAGTCATTTGTCACCACCATTGCTTAGAAATGCTGGTCCCCATCCCTAACAAAAAGCTGACTAGCTTGGACTGAGCTTACATCTTTCCAGACATTGAAATCCCTGGTTACCTGCCTTGATGCTAGATTACTCCAGCCGCTTGGCCCTCCCATCCAGTTGCAAAAGATGGGCAATGTCCTTACTAAATCAATGCTATGTGCAACACCTCCTGTTCTCATTATCAGTGGATATTCAGACCTTGTGGAACATGAAAAAAGTAAATAAAATTCTTAAGATATGAAGATGCCTAAAAATTTTATTGGATTTTACAGAATCATAGGTTAGAAAACGATGGCCTTGAGGTGCCTTCACAATACCATTTAAAAACATTTTTGAGATTTTATTTTTATTTTATGTGTACTAGTATTTGCATGTTTGTCTGTGTACCACAAGTGTGCAATGCCCACAGAGGACAGAAGAGGGCATCAGATCCCCGAAGGCTGTAGTTAGTTGGTTACTAGCCGCCTATGGGAGCTGGGATTTGAATCTGGACCCACTGGAAGAGCAGGCAGTGCTATGAACCACTGAGTCATCTCTCAAGCCTCTACAATGTCATTTTGATGAAAAAGATGATGTGTCGTAAGTCATGCTGGGTACACTACAAACAGAAACAAAAAAAACTTATTTTTATTTAGAAAATCTGCAGGCTTCCTGAAAAGTCAACCATGTGACTGCCTCTTCTTAATGGCACATAATTCACTAATAAGTCACCGAGGTACAAAGCTTTTCCATTTCCAAGACTCATATTAGAAAGGAAAGAGGGAAGAGAGAGATACAGGCATCAGGCTACATCGACTTAGATTAGATGTAGAACCAGACAAAAGTGAAGCAGCCATGTTTGGAATCACCACTGTGAATAAGTAGCAATGGGTGCTTTGCACCGGGTCTAAATTTCTAACCATGAAACAACCCATTCAAACATGCCAGGCCTGCAAGATGGCTCACTAGATAAAGGTGACTATAGCTAAGGCCGACAGCTTGAGTTCAAGCCCTGAGTCTCACATGGCAGGAGAAAAGTGATTTCTGGAAGTTGTCACTGACTGTCTACATGCAAGTATGTCCCTAACACACACATGTACACAAAAAATGAATTAAAATGTATTAAAAATTAACATCCCTAGAATCCAAATCACACATAAAAAGGATGAACATTGGAATTTGATACTACTTGCTGTGTCATTCTTTTTTTTTCTTTTTTTATTTTGTGTGAGAGGTATGTTTGTGTGTGTGTGTGTGTGTGTGTGTGTGTGTGTGTGTGTGTGTGTGTGTGTGGTGTTATGTGCAGTTTTTGCATGTGGGGGTGTGATCTCCTGTTCTTGCACATACAAAAGCTAGAGGTCTCCTTCAATTCTTCTGTGCCTTATCTTTTGGGACAGGGTATCTCACTGAACCTGGCACTCATAGACTAGTCTGGCTAGCTGACCACTAGCTCCTGGGATCTATGCTCCAGCTGTAGGGTCACAGACATGTGACACTACATCAATCTTTTATATGGATGCTGGGGGTCCAAATTCAGGTTCCTGTGCTTGAGCAATAAGCAATTTACTCCCAGAGTTTCTCTCCAACCTCTGACTTACTCTTTGAAAAAGTGTTTATTACAAGGTGATTAATTAAATGACATGTAAAACAGACTAATATCTGAGAAGAGTTTTGACTCTCCTGACTAAAAATCCTTGTACTTAATGATGAGGAAAAAAATTGCCTCTGAAATCCCAAATCTGTGTTCCCCCAATGAATGATGCACATATTATCAGGCAAAATCAGAGGAGGTTCAACAGTCATGGACAAATGCACGCAAACCTCATCGTGGAATCTTCATTGGGATTTTGACTGGCCCCTGGAAATTTTATGGCCTGCCTTCGCATTGTTAATTTCAGGGTTTCTTTAGTGCGATGTGAGTGTTTTTTAGTTTTTTATGAGCCCAATAGTCTACTACTGCAATGAGCTTTGGGGTGTGGTGGACACCGAGATGTTTTATAGCAATAAAGGATTATCTTGTGGAAATCTGTTCCTTCCTTGCTTATTTTTTACTGTTCCCCAACACTGACTCAAATTTACAAGCACTCATTTAGGCCTCTCTTAAATCCGTTCTGGGAAAGATTAACTTCAAACTCAGACACTGTAAAGCATGTATAAAGCGCAGGTCTGTTGGCTGCCATTTTGGTGTCCTCTCAGAGTCAACCACGTCACACTCCTGCCATGGGAAGGGAGCACTTTGAATGTGATAAATCAGATTTCTCATGGCTTTGTAATAGGAACTATGATATTTGCTTCTGAATAGTAGCAGGATAGGTTAGAGTTGTGATTATATTTCTTAGTATTTTACCTCTTGAGGAGGAGGAGTATGTAGAGATAAAATGGGTGTTTTCTCATTTCAATAACTCATTCTCAACAATCATTGTAGACAAAGACAGGAAAGAAAACTATATTATGACAGTAATGGTACATGTTTGTAATTCCTGCACTTGGGGGGGGGGAGGCAAGACCGTCTGAGGTACAAGGGTTCAAGACTATGCAGGGCTCCACGGAATCCTATCTTAGGGGGAAGGAAGATGAAGTCTATCTTCCTAAATTCAGAAAAACCTCCATCTAATCCATTCAAGATGGAATTATTCTCTTGTAGAAATACTACCGAGCATCTAATATACACACACCAAAAGCTGTCTTTAAGCAACACTTCCCAAAGTTAGGTGAACTTCCAGCAGCAGAATAAAGAGAACTAACTCTTGAAACTGGAGGAGAAACTTACTTTCCTCAGGCATGTTGGGCAAGTGTATGCTGCGGCAGTAAACATGCCCAGTATTGGCTTAAATGCTTTTTGAATTTTCTGCTTCTCACTTTCTGTTTCTTGTCCATCATAAGTTGCCTGAAGAGTCTATTTAGAGTTCGCAGTGCTCCAAAATCCCATTGGTGAAGAAGTCAATGTCAGAAATATTGTAAATTCCTTCGGCAAAAGTCTGTACAATCTGGAAACCTTCACATCAGACATCATTAACTGCAGCCAAGCACCAATGTAAGGAAGAGAAGTCATCCCGCCTAGCAGAAGACAGCAAGCTGTCTGTGGGTGTCACTTACCACTCTCGTCACTCCATCTTAAAACCATTCAGATTGGTCCCTAAACCCACTGCTACAGATGTAACAGTCTAAAATACTGCCAAAGGAATTGACAGCCAAAACAAAACTTTATACTCTGGGAGCATACAATGTTCAAATCATGAGGGATCGTTTTAGATGTGTGGAGTTTTGTCCCTTATCTTAAAAGCAGGGGAATGGCCGCTGAGATTATTCAGACTAGCCTGCAAAACTCGCAGACTCTGGCTTTGAAAATATCATTTTGTTTGCTGGGAAGATGTGTGCAGATTTCTCAGTGCCCTTTAAACCAGGGGCTCAGTTAAAAGGCTGAGAAAATCCGGAGATGATGACAAAGTCCAATCTGGGAGAAGTAGGTGACTTTGAGAAAGATGAAAGTCAAAGTAAAAAGACTTCGTGAATAAATATGAAGGTTAGGAAGAAATCTAGGTTTCTTTGTTCTGGTTTGGCTAACATAGCATAAAGATGATAAACGTGTTGTTGATTAAAGCATGGACAGGGGCAGGGAGATGGCTCATTTTGTAATGGGCTTACCCCATGAGGATGATGACCTGAACTGGGCATCCAAAAATAAGATAGTGCTGGGGCACGCACCGGGGAGACAGAGGTAAGGGGATTCCAGAATCTTGTAGATCATCCAACCCAGTTAGAACAGTAGTATGACACTGAGTGAAAAACCTGTCTTAAAAGCCAAACATAAAAACCAAGGTGGATGCTCCTAAGGAAACACTGAGGTTATCCTCAGACCACCACATGCATGAACACACACATGTGTACACTCGCAAAACTGAAACATAAAAAGACAGAGGACTTGATTGTAGCCATGTTGAGTTAGACATGTGTGGTAAGCATGCTTATTTGGATACCAAACAGCCTTGGGAAACATTTGTGTCCCATTTTTAAGTCACCACGGCCCAAGTGAGACTTACCAGATCCTTCAGGGTGCTCATTGAGCTTCCTGATTTAGAAATGGACATGTCACCCAGGATGGTCCAATCTAAGCTTTCCCTGGGGTGTTCCCCCACCTCAACTTTGGAAGGAGACACTTGGGCTTTTGACTACGATCTCACCAAACAGGTTAGTTAAAAGCTGAATAATTACAGGGAGTTATCAATATCACAATGGAAGCCATCTTAAGATGAGCCCACATGAAGAAAAAGACAAGACAGCAAACAATAGTATGTGAAATGTCTCCCCACTTACAAAAAGCAAAAGATCTTAGTTCCATGTAAACTATGCTTAATCAGCCATCTGCTGCTTGCATTTAAGAAAATCCTGTCTCTAGTGAGTATAGGACCATGCCAAAAGAGGGGTCTAGAAGCTCAATGAAGTAACTGAAACTCTAGTGGCCATTTGAGCGACTGTCCAACATAGGAAGGAAACTTTCTGTTGGAGGAGTATTCATCTAGATCCCTAGGTTTCCTCCTGATCCTAGAATCCATAGAGATGCACTTAGCCTGCCTCAAGAAAGCATCTCTCTCTCTTCTGATGGTGAGACTGCTGTGGCATCTCTATTTCTTCCCCTGACTGATGCTTAGGAGCCACTTAGTATCTTTATTGGGAGGCATGAAGGAGCAGGAAAAAGGAAGCTATGTCTCACAACAGAATTCACACTGACACCAGTCCCAGAGCACAGAACAAGAAATTCCATGCTGTTTCTACTGGTTGCAGCTAACCTGACTGATGTGCAAAGTGCAATTTCTGAACGGATGCATCAAGTTAACAGATACGAAAGAACACTGTTAGTGAACACATGTGAGCTGTGGGTAAGGGAACTTGTCAGGAAGCCTTAGGACATGAGTTCGATCCTTAGGATCAACGAGGTAGATGAAAGCAGAGAAATGAGTCCTGTAAGATTTTCTCTGACCTTCAAAAACACACTTTGCCATGTGTTCCTACACACACACACACACACACACACACACACACACCATAATATAATATAATAGTTTCTAAGAAGACCAAATGTACCACCAGCCATCATTCAAACCTCAGCATGCCAGGTGGCAAAGTGAATAGACACTCTTATCAAATGTATCCCACGCTAGAGACTCTACCTCAGCCGTATGATACATGTGTGAGATGCCTCTGCCCACAGGTCAGACGCCCTTCCAAGGGTTGAACCTCTGCTTTAGTCATGTTGAGGTGTCACTTATTTCAATGCGACTTCTCCCCAGTGTCTAGTCCAGAACTCTCCATGAACACTAAATGATCATCTACCAGAAGCATGAATATGTAAAGCCCAGAGTCTTCTAGAATATTCAGAATCAGATGTGCTTATCAGAAGAAGAAATCGCACAGATGTTCTTGAAACAAGCAGAATCCAAATTAGTCATTCCTGGTTTCTGCTGATGGCATCGGAGTCGTGGTCTCTGGGTATCATCCGCATCACCTCTCCTGGCAGAAAAAAAAAAAGAGAGAGAGAGAGAATTGCCTTCAAAAGTACTGTCGCCTCCCCTACCCCCAAGCAGTATTTAAACATGAGACTGCTTGAGAGGGAATAGAGTCATTTCACTGCGGGTGATTCCCTATCTTGAACCCTTCCCAGGGTGAGTCCTCATGCTGGCATTTCCCTGGAACCAGCCCTTGCTGCTGCGGGGGCTGCGATGCGGAAGTAAAAAGTGTGCGTGACCAAGTTGCATGTGTTCACTCATCCAGGGAAACAAAAACGTGAGTGCCAAGCACCTCTGACTCAGCGCAGATGTGTGCTGGGTTACCCGCCTCCCACAGAGGACACTGGAGCTGATTCAGGAAGCTCACACTCATCCAGGGGAAGAGAACCAAGTCAGCAGCAAGCGGGCAAGATCATCCTCCCTTTAACAAATGTGTGTTTGAATCACAAACCTATGGCACTCTGATGAGACTGTTAGAAGAAAAGACATGCAAACTAGCCACGATTAGGGAACACTGGGACAATCGGGAGCATCTCCGATTTCACAAGTTAGACTTCCATAGGGTCAGGTCTGCCCACAAGCAGAGGCAGCATTGTCCTCACGTTGGGAAGTGGTTCAGGGTAGGAGAGGAGGGACGGGGAAGAGGGAGAGCTAAAGTGCCTAGGAGACTAAGGCAAAGGATGAGGGAGGGACTGCCAATAGGAGGAATGCTGGCATCCCCCTGGGTCTTCCCCAAAATGAAGGAGCTGCTGGGAGGCTTTTTGTATTGTTAACATGTTTGCATCTCACACACAGACATCCATTTATATCCGTTCTTAATATTTTTGCTTCATAAAATTTGATGCCAAGCTGAGGACAGAGTTCAAAACACTTACATGGGCCTATGTGAATGGGGCTATGATTCAGTCTCCAGGAGAACACACATAGCATAGCATAGCATAGCATAGCATAGCATAGCATAGCATAGCATAGCATAGCATAGCATAGCATAGCATAGCATAGCACAGGAGAATGATACAAAGCCTTATTTTCCTCAGGTGTGGTAAGGGCATGTCTGTAATTCCGGCACTTGGAAGGCAGAGGTAACAGGATCATCCTAAATCTAAAGCACCAGCCTGCCCTACAGAGGAAGTGTCAATTTAACCAGGGCTTCATAATAAGGCTCGGGTTCCCAATGAACAGAAAGAAAACAGAAGGCGAGAGGGGTAGGGGTGAAGATTCAGGGGAGGAAAGAATCGACCCAATGGTACTTTTCAAATGCTCTAGACAAGGACAATAAATGCTCAGAGCGTAGATGCTGCCTGGTATGGGCTCCGAAGCTGGGTTCTGGGACCGGACACTCCCTGTGTCTGCCATTCACTAGACCCAGGAATTCCGGCAAACCATGTAACCTGAAAATGTACGATTTCCTCATTAGTTCGTCGGAAGTAACAACACTACTCTTACTAGACTTCACTACAGGTCATATGAGATAATGTTTCTAAAAAGCTTAGCGGGGACTTGTGTTGGGTAACTGATCAATAAATGATAGCCAGGGTGACTGTGGAGACAGCGTTGTGTTGGCTGACTTAAGGCCAGCAAGGCCAGAGATCTTCTGTACTGTCTGCCTAGAAGCAGTGGACTGTGGGCCTCTTTCCTGCTGCCTTTCGAAATCTTCAAAGCCCTGTTCAGGGAACCCAAGTGGCCTGCAAGTGCCATTTAGCGGTTCTAATTGCTTACTTGATTATAATTGGTTACAGTACTGCTGGCTTTGCATTTGCATTGTTAATGGACCCTTCAAAGTGGACTGACATTTAGGCTGGTTTTGAAGACTCGGAAACCTTAGAGTTTCCACAGTGAGTCACAAATATTCAGAAACTGTAAAGTACTTGGAAAACACACACAGAGGGAAGCGCACATTGGTGTCTTTGTAAAGGGGCATGCTGGAAGCATGCGCTAGCATTCATCTGTGAATGCTCCCTTAGGCCAAGAAGCAACTTAATGCAGATAACTAGCATTCAGAAAGCGTCAGTGTGGGATGTGTACAAGCCCCTTCCTAATATCTGCAGAAACCCTGGAGCAACATGTCACTGAGCCTTTATTGTACTCCATTTGTAGTCAAGCTCTTTACATATGTAAATACTATTGACCATCACAACCACCCCATGAGATAAGAACCATATTTATGCCCATTTTGTGGATGAGAAAACTGAGACCCACGCTGAGAAAGAGACACTGATCTCCTTGGCTGAGGTTACACTGGCAGCAATGGATCTGTCAATATTCAAGCCAGGCGCATAACGTGGTCCCTGGGATGCGCTATCATCGGTGTGACCACTGGGAAAAGCTGTTCTACTTAATGGAATTCGGAGTCACTGAACTGCATTGTTAAAAACTGACAGCTACTGTGAATCATTAGGCCCCAAATGTGCTAAAAACATTCCCTCTGCCCACTTGGATCTAACGCTTGGGAGCCTGCAAATTACCTGAGAACAGACGGATGAAGGAGAAAGACAGGGCTTGTTCAAATGTGTGTGTGAGTCACCCAGCAATGAGTAACTCTCAGAACACCAAGGTTGGTTATAAGTCAGCATAAGAAAGGGTGGGTTTCTGGGGCTTCTGTGGAACCCAGAGTGGAAGGTTCATAATGCTCCAGGGGCAGTGGGCAGACTGTTTCCATGGCAGCCATATTTGAAGGAACCTTGGAGAAAGGCTAATGACTGTTGTATTTTCATGATGCTCCAATGAGTCAGAAAAGACTTACTTCCATATCCGTTCCAACATCCTCTATCACTTTAAGACAACCTTTGCCCCAGTCCTGGGGGGTGTGTCTAGGTCTCCACACCAATACAGTCACCTCTTAGGGGAAAAGTACAGACAGCTCATATTCTAAATCAATTTGGAGCTGATTGATTGCGAAGTGCGTGTCTATCGTCCCAGAACTCAGAATGCTAAGGCAGGAGGATGACAGGTCTGAGTTACAGTGGGTCACAAAGTCAGTTCTGGTCTCAAAAAGCTAAACCAATAGTACAGAATTCAGATTAGCTTTAAGCAATGTGCATTTTTAATGAGTTCCTAGTAACTGTGTTTGACAGTCATTCTCTGATCAAGTGTTGTGACTACAGCAATATCACGGTAATGCAATATTTATTATAGGTAGTTCTTGGCCCTTAAGCAGTATCAAATAAATATTTGGTTAATGAATAAGTGAGTCACTGTAAATATTAAGTTCTTTCATGTTGGTATAATAGAAAGGTAGGTTTCAACACATACATTGCTGTCACTTACCTGAATATTATTTTTTTAAGTTAATGAGTGAATATTTACGGTAGGAATTACACCAGAATTACTGGAAGTTTAAATACATATGGGGAAAACCCATTTTCTCTTACATGGTATAGATACTAATATTAGAAGTCATTCTCAAACTTCCTTGAACTAAATCTCACTGCTATGTTCATATGCCCCAGATACATTAATCTAGAGATTTACTCTAAGACTTGGCTCAAGCAGTCATGAAACTCCAAGGTCCATTTCGGCCTTAGGTAAGCTAGAAACAAAGGGTGTCACTTAAAGGTCTATGCACCAGAGGATTTAGTAGACTCAGTATGCGTGTGAACATCTGGTGACCAACAGCATCAAACAGGACAAGACCAATCGTCCCAGCTCCTGAAGTCAGGCTAGACTGAGAACATGCTCATTCCTGCTCTGCCTTCCTGTTCTGTTCTGTGCCCACCCACACGGGATCAACCTCCAGTTTCCTGAGAAATGCTTGAAACTTATATCAAAAGAAACACAGTATGCCCAGAACCCACTGAAGACTGAACCCACAGAGCACCTGTGGGGTGGTAGAAACCTGGGCACTTCTGGGTTCATTTCCTGTCCTACCCCAGCTGGCTTTGTGACTGTCTCTGGCAAACGGCAGCTTTTCTGGTAGCAATACTCCCTTAGGATGCAGTTCGAACCCATGCAGCTGACTGTGCTCTCCAGAATGTAAACAGCATGAGGACTCAGACTTCTCTTCACCCTCGTGCTGTGTAGTGTGTTCCCAGCATCTGTCCTGCTATTTGAGACATGGTGTGGGCTTGATGAATATTTCCTGACTTAGCAAAAGAATGAAACAAACTATTTCTCAAAGTGCCTCTTCTAACTGCACAGGTTTTGGGGGAGTCTGCTAAATACACGCTTCAGGTGTGCATGACAGTTTTTGCTCCTGCTCTACACTGAATAGATGAAGACGGTCATGGTAGGCAGAAAAAAACTTGACCAGAGACCTGAGTAAAACACAACTGTCATGTAGTGCTTTATCCTTTGAAACAGGGTTTCAAGGATCTCTAGGTGGGGTCTCACCATGACGTAGTGACTTTGTAGACAAGTGCTGAGATTACAGGCATGTAGCGCCACACCAAGTTTATGTTGGAAACTGAACCCAGGGCTTCACGTATGCTAAGCAAGCTCTCCGTGAACTGTGCTATGCCCCCAGTGTACCCTTTAAGTGAACAAATTTGTCAACTAGAACATTAATCTCTCAGGGCTGTATTGATTACCGTTAGCTCAGAGGTTTCCAAAGTGTAGTTCATGAAGTCTTAGCAGGCAGAGGCTGCTAAATATATACACTCCTGAGCTCCACTCACAGACACCCTGACTCGGTAGATCCACTTGGGACCCAGGAATCCACGTGGTTCATGCTAGATGGCAAGTGTTCTTTGGCAGATGGTCACTGCACCAGCTTTGATCAGAGTGCATCCAAAAGGAAAGGGAGAGACTGGAGGTGCCAAAGTCAATGCCGGCTGCTCTCGGGCTGTGCCAAGGACCAGCCCTCGTGGGGAGGCATGATGAGTGTGGGTAAAGTGATTTTATAACTTTGGGTGGAAAACCATCGGAGCATGCCAAAGATCAATATTGTGTTTCGTCTGAGATTCTCCTCTCCCTTTCTCCTGCCACACCCTTCAAGCTGTGATGACGGGAACAATACCAGGCCTGCACTGTTTGGTTTCATCAGAATTGGTTCTTATGTATCACCTT